AGCAGAAGCACATGGCCATCACCTGCACCAAGCCGGAGCCTAGGATATCTACCCTCACCCAGTGTTACACCATGCTACTGTTCTGCCAGTCTGGAAAGAAGTGCCTTTCCACCTTGGCAGGCTCCTCTCGTCCTGCCACTCCTCCCTGATATGGACTCCTCTTCAAACAAAGCAGTTCAGGATTAACAAAGCTTGGAGTTTGTGCATTTCAAACCTTCCACTGCATGTTTGACAGACTTATAGTGGGACAGTGCGAGAAGGGCCATAGATATTCAGACCAACATTTTTAGACCTAAAACAATAACATCATTTGTATGATGATGTTTGAAACAGATTTACATGTTTCACAAAATATGATTACAAACATGTATGACCTGGTGAGTAATTTCCTTTAAGGCACATAGGAAACATATTGATCCCATGAAGGCCTACACATTTTCAGAGTTGCTGGTTAAAGGACAAGCAAAGAAAATAGTGGATGTTTTTGAAATAGGAAGGCTTTGTGGCTCCCAGGAAAACAATAAAGGTAGTTGTGATTCTAATCTTTTAGCCTCATCAATAAAATTATCAAATTCTGAAGCACACATAAAATTAAAGTGCCCGGAGAAAATACTACTTAAAATTGTGAATACCTCATTCCATTCTTTTTAATGGCAACATAAGGTGTTATTTGGTTCCATGCTTAGGCTTTTGATAGCTAGATTTTGGTAATAGTTTTGAAGAACCCTTATCTGAGTACATTGGAATCCAAGCATTCGATATGCCATTTTTATGTGGTAATTTAAATGTTGTACTTATGGTTTTTTAAACTAAATCAGCTGGTTGGTTACATTCAGCTAAAAATAGCACTCTAAATAATAGCTAACTACTCAGCAGTGAACATACAAGCCAGCTGCGTCACACAATTTAAATTAACCTCCAATAATTCTTTAAATATTTGTGCTATGATAAGTGATAACTGCATATAAAATGAATTCCTACTGATAGGAGGAGAGCTACACCTTTATTTTCACTTTGAGAAGTACGATAGAAATGTTGTGATGAAGGGTGTACAATTTACATATGTTCATATAATTCTTGGAATTTTGATTTCAAAATAGAGACAGATGGATGTTGGTTGCTTCTGTGAAGGATATTTTGTTTTAACAAAAATCAAAGTTTAAGAGTCCTTCCAAACAGTAACTAAATTCATCAGAAAGCAGATGTCTGCAGACTCTTGCAGTGTTAATGGAAACATGTTTATGCTGTTGGTTTTATGACAAGTAGGATAAATATTGATGGCTATTAACATTGCTATCAGTTCAGAAGAATCCAAGGTTGAGCAAGTTTTTAATTCAGTTGAGAAGAGACACACAGAATTGATTGAAGAGGAAAATTTAGTTTCTCTCCTAAAACTAGTTCAGGGCAGTGCAGAGAACCAATTACCACACAGAATGGTGCAGAGCTGGATGAACACAGCAGGCCAATCAGCAGAAAGGCTGATGTTTCGGGCCTAGACCGTTCATCAGAAATGGGGGAGGGGAAGGGGGTTCTGAAATAAATAGGGAGAGAGGGAGAGGCGGATAGAAGATGGATAGAGGAGAAGATAGATGGAGAGGAAACAAACAGGTCGAAGAGGCGGGGATGGAGCCAGTAAAGGTGAGTGTAGGTGGGGAGTTAGGGAGGGGATAGGTCAGTCCAGGGTGGACGGACAGGTCAAGGGGGTGGGATGAGGTTAGCAGGTACGAGATGGGAGTGCGGCTTGAGGTGGGAGGAGGGGATAGGTGGGAGGAAGAACAGGTTAGGGAGGTGGGGACGAGCTGGGCTGGTTTTGGGATGCAGTGGGGGGAGGGGAGATTTTGAAGCTTGTGAAATCCACATTGATACCATTGGGCTGCAGGGTTCCCAAGCGGA